GAAAAAGTTAATTATTTTATACACACGAGAGAGAGAGAACAAGAGGGAAAGAGAGAGAGGGAGAGGGAGAGAGGGGTATAGACAGGTATAGTCACATGACAGTTACCAGAACTAGGGAGCAGGTGTATTTTTTTTTTTTTTTTTTTATGCCACTGTCTATGCCCATCTAAAGCCAGAGAACAAAGTGTTGAACTGAACCACTGGACTTTAAAACTTTGAAACCCAGTTTCACAGACAGGGTTTAGATTATGCCAGGATTAGGCCTTAGTTCAATTAGGACATTGAAGTAGCTTTTATAAACAAGCCTTAGAAGTTTTTTTTACTGTTGTGAATATTAAAAGAAACAATGGCACTGACATTTTAAGAAGTTGCTTTCAGTTAAACCTGCATTTTAGTCTGGGACTAGTTTGAGACTTGTCTGTAAAACTGGGGGTGAAAGTTATATGGAACAATGAACAGTTCCATTATATTTTGTATAGATTTATATAAAATTAAACAAATATTAACAATATATACAGTATATAGAATGCATAAAACTTCAACTGGAACACAGAACAGTTTTTTGCCCCACGGAACTCCATGGAATGGAATTATACAGTATGTAAACCTGAACATTGATACACAGTCAGTATCTCCATAACCTCTAGGGTCAGTGGAGTCGAGGACATGTATCCTTTTAAGTTTCGGGAGTAATACCTGCAGAATACACAAAGCAAACTTCCTACAATATAGCCTGCCTGTGTGTAGGTTGGTTATTTCTTGTTTTAATTTTTAAGTATACAATTTTTATTAAGATAAAGAGGGAATACAATTAATGTCTAATTATGATTACCATAGAAATGAACAATATCAAATATGGCTGTCAGGCAAAACCTTGGATGAAAACAATGATTAAGATATTTCCAAAATTAAACGAATGGTATTTGAAGAAATCAACAACTTACACACAGGGTCCAGTGACCTGATTTGCATATAGGAAATAGGATGCAGTCTTTTGAGGATGCATCAGTCTGTTGGAGTGAACAGAGGAACAACAAACAGAGCATATTGTTGGAATGTGGCAATTCATCTGAGAAATTACAATAAGTTAAACTACTTTAAGTTAAATAAGATAACTTAAAATTGATACTTCTCCCCAAATTTTAAATTATGTCATCATTTACTCACCCTCAACCTGTCCCTTTAAAGGAGGATATCAAACCTACTTTCTAAAACTACTTACCGGCAGGGACAGAAATGGATCACAATTCAAAGGTGGTTGCCAAGTGGCCACCACATATGAATCAAGAACATGAACATCCTTGCCCTGTAAAAAAAGAAAAAACACGTTACAACTTAATTTTAAAAGCACAAATATGTAATATCATTAATACTTTATATTACACAGGTTTGTCAATGACACCCATAATACCTTCTCTCCAGCAATGTGGGATAACTGAGAAAGGCAACAGTTCATCACCTATTGCATAAGGATCAGGAATGTTAGGTAAAAAAAATAGATCACAAGTTACTTAAAATATATTAAAATAAAGTTGTGTAACATATCCACTAACTGTTGCCTCCACTTCCTGGTTCAATCCTAAAGACATCAAGTCAGATCTTTTCAACACTGTTTTACCCACGGCACCTATGATTTCATCTGGTGATTGGGTCCCATCCAAAACATGATCAAACTAAAACAGTAACAATAGAACAGACTAATTTTAGTCAAATGTTAGTTGTCAAATGTCAATGTCAAATTTTAGATAAAATCTAAAATCAAGACAGTTTATAATACATTTGAACATTGTGTTCCTTATGTGAAAACATACCAGTGGGTTTGGGTGGTTTTGCAACTGGAAATCTGAGGTTTCCTTCCTGGCACGTATGTTTGTCCGTCCCCAGCAATCTGTGTCAGGCTCTGGTGAACTTGGTGGAACTACAAAATACAGAAGTTTAGAATATGGTGAAGTAATATGATTAAAATGGATTTATGGTTTTCATTCCATCAGGTATTTTGTATTAAAACATGGCACATTTGGGATATTGGCTACCAAATAATGATTTATATAAAAACCTAAACCTGATATTTACAATTACTGAAGTGATTCAAGTCAACTTTACCTTCTTGAAGTTCTGTGGTACTACCTGTAGAGCACACAAAAAACATTAATGGCTAATTGAAACAATCTAAAGGGCATTAGAGGCAATATTGAAAATCAGTAATCACTAAAACTACCTTCATTCCTGAATGTCAATTTCCCATGTAGGCCAATGTGGATTGAATGCTTTGCCTGCATCTTCAAAGTTTTTGTGTATTTTTCATTAACTCTTTTGTTGTGAAGATGAAAGTACAGTCGTAGGGAGAACATATAATGTTCATCCCTCATTTGACACAAAGAATATCTGCTGGAAGACAACTCCCGGTTTAGCTGTTCAGCTACGGAGGAATTAACAAGAGAAGCTAAGTGTGGTGCAAATTTCAAACTTCTCAAAACCTCCTCTTGTCTGCTTTGATTTTTTTGATGGAACCGATCATACAAAGAGAATCTTGCATTGGTTCCTGTCACAGGATGCAGTGAGGACAAAGTGTCAGAAGAATAGGTGGCCTCATTTTCAGAGACTTTTCTTGATGAGAAGCCAACACTTGTCACCCATGGGAACCGGACTTCAAGTCGTTTTTCCGCTGCTGCCTGGATGTGTGCAGCAGTGTTTTCACAAAGTCGTCCATCATATGGCTGGAAAAAACGTTGGTTGGTGCGATTATTAACGTGTCTTGCAACACGTCCAGCAATGTCGGACACATACACTGTGGGAGGGTGTTTAAAGCTCAAAAGAGCATCTCCATGATCACGGGCTGACTCTTGCCACCACAGTGCTGACTGGTAGTACACCACAGAGTGTGGGCAGGTCATGTGCAAAACACCACCTCCATTTGGCAAAACAAAGAAAAATGGTGTAAAATTTTAAAATTAAACATCCTCAAAACATTTCATATGCATGACAAAAAAGAAAGAAAGAAATGTAAATACAATTTAAAGGGTTGGTTAGTTCCCCCAAAATCGGGAATTTCTGTCATCATTTACTCACCCTCATGTCGTTCCAAACCCGTAACAAATTAAGATATTTTTGATGAAATCTTAGAGGATTCTGCACCATCCATAGACAGCAATATCATTGCAACATTCAAGGCCCAAAATGGTAGTGAAAAACACTTTAAAATAGTTTAACCTTAACGGTTCAACCTTAATATTATGAAGAGAAAAGAATACATAGTGCGCAAAAAACAAATATAACATCTTTATTCAACAATTTATTTTCTGTTTGTCTCCCGACATGGTAAACAGTGCAGCACTTCTGGGATCCACGGCAGAATGCCATCTAATTATTAGCCGACACGGTTCACGTGATCACCACGACACATGCGTGTGATGCTGACGCAGGAGACGGCCAATAGTGACGCGGCATTCTGAAGTAGAACCCGGAAGCTTTGCACCGTTCACACTACGTGAATAGCTGACACAGAAGAGAAGATAATCATTATTTTTTGAAATAAATTATTTTTGGGTTTGCGCACAAAAAGTATTCTCATTGCTTCGTAACATTAAGGTTGAACTACTGGAGACAGACTTTTTACTACCTTTCAGGGCATTGAAAGTGGTTATTGCATTGCATTCTATGGAGGGGTCAGAAACCTCTCGGATTTCATAAAAAATATCTTAATTTGTATTCCAAAGATAAACAAAGGTCTTACGGGTTTAGAACGACACAAGGGTCAGTGATTAATGACAACATTTCCCTAAATGGGTGAACTAACCCTTTAACATATGACAATGTCTTACCACCAGCCTTTTGAAGCTTAACAAACATTTTGGGGTACAAATCCTTGTACAGGAGTAGCTCCTCAAGTCTGTTAATTAAGTCAGTGGTACTACCCACGTGTGATACTCCCAGGGCATTGCAGGCTTTCACCAAGGCTTCTTTCTTTGGCTAAATATAAAAGTCATGGTTAATAAAGAAAAAAAAAATGGTAGAAAACATCATTACAGAATAAGGTACACTACATACAGTTTTGGACTCCAGCACTTGCAAAATGGCTTCTTCATCTATCTCCAAGCCACAGCTAGAGGTGAAAGCACGATCTTTCTGAGACAGACCTTTGTACACTTCTGTCTTTGGAACAATATCGCTTACCCTAGAGCAGTTACCCAGCCATGGAGTAAAGGCAGTGTATGTCAAGGGATGTGAATAAGGATTGGCAAATGTGTTGCCTAAAACGCAAAAAGGAAAATAAAACTTTCATTTCAGGATGTAAGCTATGGGTGCCCCCACTCCACCCCCAAAATAGCACTTACCATCACAGAACCCAGAAGCAGTCATTTCCTTCTCAAGTGTCTCCCATCTTGTTCTCACATTGACTTGAGTATCCTCTTGGCAGATTTTGTCCAAATTTGGCCGTTTAAACAGATGTGCTAATACACAACCAAGACAATGAGCAAAGCAGCAAATATATATCAAGACCAGTCATTATATGCACTCACAATTAACAATACACTCTCACTTACCAGGTAAATCAAATGCAATTTTCCAGTTTCCATCTGCAACCAAAACTGGAGGGCTGTGGCCACATCGAACACATGAATAGTCATAGGAGTACTCCCTCAGAGCAGAGAAATGATAAAATGCCTTTCGTATCAAATTGTGTGGAAGAGTGATGTTGGCATGATCCTCCATTGTTTGCAAAAAACGTCCAAGGGCAATATGATTCTATAAACACACACACAGACACACACCTGACATGTAGAATTATTTGTAAAATTCAAGTCATGTTTTTAAGTCACTCACTGCCAGTCCAGATGTCAGAAGAGAACAGAGGGGAATGGTCAAAAAGGTCCTGTTTTCATAATTGTGGAAACCAGACTGATATTCTTGAAACCTCACTGGACATCTACAAACAAGGCAGTCCTTCACATACACTGGCACATCTGGAGAAGACAGAAATTGTTTAAAAGATTAAATGTTAAACACATTGTGGAAAATACATGAAAAAGAGATCTATACATTTCTGAAATTAACCTCGAGTCACTGAAGATATTCCATACACTGTCCCATGCCGTGTAATTAGTACCCTCTCCCCCAAAGCTGGTGGAGTGGGACCAGGGCAATAAGGACAGTTGGACTCCAGGGGTTCAAAGAAGTCTGGTATTTGGCGTTCTTTTGTTGACAAATCCTGTGGAAGGTTTTCTGGCACCCTCTTTAGCCGCCACAAATAATCTGTCAACTTCTGTATGTCAGTAGAAGCCAGTGTTGCCACTTCTGTCTCTGCAACATCTCTGACCCTTTCATCCACATCACTGTCTTCACCATTTGGGTCAGTTTGACAGGAAAGGAGGTGGGGTTTCTCTTGAAACAGCCACCACATGCACATGTATCTGTGGACGCAGCTTCTCATTCTATTGCGGCACTGGCAGTGCCACTTGCCCAGATGGCTATCAAAAGAGACTCTGGTCCTTTCGAACTGACACCAGCTGTCTCTTACCCCAGTAAACACAGAAAAATAAACTAACCTGACAGAGGTATGCTCATGCCAAAAAATGGGGAAAACACAATCCACACCACCAGCAATACTTTTGTTTCTTAGCTGCACACATTCATCTTGTCGGGTTTTGGACAGCAGGCCACTGTCAACCATTGACTGCAAAGAGTCTTCCCTAAGTGCTGCTGGTGCAGAATAGCACACAGCTCTATTGGTTCTCTGAAGGTGATCGCATTCAATGCCTGGATTGCCACTTTCTACTCCAATCCTCATAAAATCTCGACACAGAGGTGACTCACAGCCAATAGACCCCGAGACGACTTGTTTCTTTATGTGAACAGGGACTCTAGGTCCATGGGCATCTTTTGGGGTGACAAAAATCCCATTTCGTTCATCAATACAAATGACAGGTGGCTGTTCCTTGACCTGCTGCCCTGCCTTTGGTTTTTCTGATGATGGCATTTCTGAGGGACAATATAAACATGTTAAAGTAAACAAAGATCAACAAATATTAAACATTCTTAAATACCAGTATCAAAGGTACATACTGTCTGGCTTGTTGGTAATTTTGCATGTAACTGAAAGATCTGCAAAAAGGACAAAAGATGAGGTGAGTTAATCATAACATGAAATAAAAATGAAACAAAACTTTAAAATTTAACTAATTACATTGCACATACTATGATTATGTAGGTGCTTTTTAAAGTCAGGGGCACGACACAAGATGTGCTGACACTTAGGGCAATGCCAATGGCACCTATTTTTTTGTCGGGCATTCAAACAAAAGCAAGGAACACAATATTTTTCTAGAAAGACAAGAGAATGTTAATACATTTTAACTTACAACAAACATGTTAAATGCATGCGTGCTTTGTACAATGCTTACGGATGCCATTGTCCTCAAAATATATGGCATGCTTTACATGCTTTTCCTGAAAGTGCTCAGGACTCGACATCACCCCAGTTGTACAGTAGGGACAACTGCCTGTCCCAGAAAAGACGACATCTTTTCCAAAAGCAAAGGGTATTCCTACACATGCAGTGTATACGAGAAAATAACATATCTCAAATAGCAACACAAATTCATTCACATATAAAGGTAGAACATTTTAGAAGTCTAATTACATCTTTAACATGGGCAGGTATTTGCATGTTCTGCTCAAATGAACTTTAGTTAGTAAGATTTTGGTAAATAATTGGCTTCTTACCTGCCATAATTGATTGGCAGTTACACAAGAGGTGTAGAGCAGGGTGTACACAGAGTAAGAAAAAGAAAGGTAGTTCTTAAAAGAACTGTTTTGTCCAAAAATGCAATAGTAATAAAAAAATCAATAAATGGTTGGATATCAGACAATCCCCTGAAAAATTAAATACACAAAAAACGACATGGTTATTAGTGTTGCACGTGTAACGTTAGGCTGAGCTTGTCAATAATTCCAATAAATCAGCATTACCTTTATTCTAATCAATAGATTAAGTTACCATGTTAACAAACGCTAATATTTAATGGTGATGGTAATAATAACGTTGTATTTAAAGTTAATGGTAGCCCCTCACAAACCAGGACCACACAGTGCACAAGCTGCGTTTCTACAATAGGCACAGATACACTGTCTCTAACATAAAAAGTTAAAATTTACAGAGCAACAAATATTTATAATCTGATAATTCATTTACGAACTTACCACGCCAAAAACAGCCGCCATTGCTGAAAATTCGCGGGCGCCACCAATGAAAATGGCCTGCTGTCGAAGTTACATATGATTGGTTGCTGCTACGTTGGACGACACTGATTGGCTGCCACGAACTGGCAGGTCCCTCCTAATTTGGCAGGGCTTCCGGCTGTCAACGGCAGCTACTTCCTGCTGCCAGTGACAGCTACTTCCTGCTGCCAGCTGCCGATTTTTTAGCTGAACCCCGATGTTCTTAAATCTTCCTGTTACGACTCCGAGACGATTCAGTGCGTGCAGGAAACTGAACAGATCATTCAAACTGATTCGCGAACCGATTTAGACAGATCTGCCCAACTTGTTTGATGAAGTCTTTGAACAGAATCGACTCAAAAGAGTGATTCATTTGTGAATTGAGCATCGCTCATGCCCAGAAAAAAGAGAGAGCGCGCGCTTAGAATAAACTACGCTTTTAACAACATATTGCATTGAAATAAAGTAACGAGAGGAACGTCGCCAAACGTAACGAAGTAAAAGTACAGTTTTTTCATTAGAAATCTACTCGAGTTAAAGTAAAAGTACCCACAATTAAATCTACTCTTAAAAGTACAAATTTTCCAAAAAAATACTCAAGTAAATGTAACGAAGTAAATGTACTTCGTTACTACCCACCTCTGGTTACTTCAGGTGTCTTCAGTCGTTGAAAAATATTTTCCAAAATAAACTGTGAAAAATAGTACTGTATCTTAATATGCATTACTGTTGTGTGTTTTAAAGCACAGTTTTTAGTAAATCTTTAAAGAATCTTTTACATCAAGTTGAAAGATTTGTTGTTGTTTTTTAAGAGAAAGACTGACCCCTGGTGATTACTTCAGGATGTGTCTTCATGATGTCCCATCCAACAAGAAACACAGAAAACCTGGATGTTAGAGCAATAAAAAATGTTTTTATTTGGAGTAATAAATGTGATTTGAAGCTACTGGATTTCCGTTACTGATATAAACATATACAAATATAAACATGTAAACATAAAACAAATTTAAGTATTCAAAATATTTATTATTTTATAATTATTAGTGTTCTTGTGATTAAAAAAATTAAAAAATAAATGTTTTTTATTGGAGGGGGCTACAAGGATAAGGTGTAACAATGGTCAGCCTAAGTGGACGGGTCATCAGGGGCGATTATAGGATTTCAGTATTAGGGAGGCTCAGTCCCCAATGAGGGTATGATTTAAAAAAGTATCATTATATATTGTTTGTATAGGGTAGGCATGAACAATACACTAGGCTCTACACTACAATCAAGTCAATCCCTGAATATTGAATTAATTTCGAATTTAAAAAAACAGCTAATATTCAATAACATTCATTAAGAATATAGAGAAAATGTATATTAATGTAATTGTTTAGATTGGCAATGTGTGGGTAAAATATTTTTTTCAACACATGTAATGTTTAAAAAAGATTTAACTACATTTGTGCAGTAAAATGCACTTGAAGTTATTGACATTTCTCATTTTCCTTCATGGAGCTAACATGGACAATGTCATGGATAACATCACCTGGTGGAAAATAAACACATTAACATGAAAATGACATGAAATTACCACTATAACCGGATGGCTGCAGTGGACCACTTATAGCTAATTTGCCATTTACTCTACTTTTATAGTGTGTTGTGGATTTATTATAAATTGAATATTGTAACAAATACTTTGCAATTCTATTGCACTGAAGTAAGCCTGAAGTATAGCAAGAGTAGGAAAAGACAGTCTCATGCCATTTAGATGAAAGGAATTTTATTAAATAATTCAATAAATACATATTTATTTATATTTTTGAAGTGCTCACGCATCATATTATGAAAACTGCATTTATGACAAAGAACTACACAGATGCAGACATCATAACAATCTATCAATAAATGCACACACCTTGTCCTCTGCTTTTGACACTGGCCCTGCGCTACAGATTCAAGAACAAGCTGAATAACGCAGCCTAAAACGGGGATGAGCCGAGCCCTAAGCCTACCGTCGGAGCTTTAAAAGGGAGTAAGGGACTGAGGCGATCATGAATTAGTGTAGGCTACATATTACATACTAGTTAATCGCAAATGTTTAGGGGGCCTTGGTGGAAATTTAAGTGGTCCTCCTAAAATGGCCCTAGTGACACCCCTGCAGGTCATCTTGTATAGGACATTTAATAAAAAAAGCCAGTCCAAAGAGTGCATAAGTGGGATCACAACATCAGGGGAACAGAATGTCAACACAATGTTCAGATAAATGTGAATCATGTGAATTTGAATCCAAACTTACCCCTTGGCTCATTCACAATTTCATAACCCTATTTGAGATGCTTCCTCATTCACTTCTTGAAAAAACAGAGAAACCCTGAGAAAAACTCGGTGTCAGTTAAAGGTGTTTTCACATCTGTGCAGTCAGTCGAAAGCAACTTTATTATAATAAGGGTTAAGGTTACCATATAGTGTGAAACTTACTTTTAAAACACTTTCTTATTATTTATCCAAGAACTAGAGGTGTTACTAAATGCTAGATTATACATACTTATAATAAACTTAAATGTATTTGATTATAGATATATTCGTACAACCACTAGTAGACAGACAGACAGACAGACAGACAGACACAGACAGATAGACAGATAGACAGATAGATAGATAGATAGATAGATAGATAGATAGATAGATAGATAGATAGATAGATAGATAGATAGATAGACAGACACAGACATATAGACAGATAGATAGATAGATAGATAGATAGATAGATAGATAGATAGATAGATAGATAGATAGATAGATAGATAGATAGATAGATAGATAGATAGATAGATAGATGGCCTACTGTGGACTTTAATATAGGCCTAAATGTTTCTACTCGCCCAATAATACAGATGGGCTAACTAATTAATTTGAATATGACCTCGTGTGTATGCGCGAGTAAGCAAACACCGCGTAACTCACTCTCTATTGGCTGTTGCACTACTGAAGTTTTAAAAGCCAGACAGAGTGGAGCCAAGTTTCGTGACGTCACCTGACCGTAGCACAACTTCAAGACTGCCCAGGCATAACATAGCAACCAACTGTATCCTTCCGCCTTTATATCTAGAGTAGACTGTAGACATGAATGTATGTGGTATTCGCTCATGACACGTTTGATTGTATGCTGTGCACACATAAGTTGTTTTGTCATATAATTTTCACATAAATAGATAACAAAAATTAAGCCTATAGCGCCTAATGTTGAAAGTAATAAAATGACAGAAGCCCTTTTTAAAATATCAAAATAATAACATGCCTAAAATAATACTGTGTTAGAAATGCATTTCTGTCTGTTTTTATAAATTGCCAACCATAAAACCAGGGGTAAATTAACTACAATTTATTCACTTCGTTCTGTCAGTAGGCTATTGATGACTTTATTATTTTTGATTGGATAATTCAATGATATCTGTCTGTTGGAAACATGAAAACCATAAGCTATATATGGGGCCCCACACAGCAATAAATGCACATACTAGGAAACTGTGAATGCTGAGTTACCTGTATCACTTACAATTACTTTCGCCATCATATAGCCTAGTCAGTGCCTTATGATCTAATTACAACAGGCATTTTCCTCGAGTAAATGCCTTCTGATGTTGTCCATCTTTCAGCCACAATAGAGAAACCATCATACTCACATAATACTATACTCCATTTATCACAGACATCTTTCTTTTGATCATCATCTCAAGTGCATCTGCAGGCACTGAGCTAACAGTGTGAGAGGAAGAAGAGTGGTCGGTTGTCAAATGGGCGGATGGATATGCACTAATGTGCTTCGCCTCCAGTCTGTTTGACGCCAGGACGGGTGAGAGAGAGAGAGAGAGACGAGGGAAAGAGAGGCAGGAAAGAAGGGAAAAGACTCCTTCATGTCGGTGTCTGTTAAACAGAGCAAAGGTCGACAGACTCTACACCATTTCATGAAAGGTATGCAATCTAATGATAATACATCCAGCCGATAAAGACGGTTCAGCGGTCACTTATCAACTTTATTCCAGTAAGGGATGGTGGCTTTTCCGCAGGGGGTGTTGAGAAGTGATTGAAAAAGTTTCCTTGCTGGGTTTTTCTTTTAATTTGTGTACGAATGAGGTGAGGAAAACACGTGAACGAAGTGTATTGACATTTTATACAAATAACATTTTAAATATGTATAACATGTTATATGCAGCATTTTGAGGTTGTAATTGTTATTTGGGTTTAATTAAACCGCAAATGTAACTGGCTAACTGGCTATGTAGCAACTCGGCTAGCAGTAAGTTAAGTTTTTACACAATAGAGAAAAACAAACGAAACAAAAATGTAACCAATAATATATCGTTATGATTTTTCGAAAGTTTTGCGAACGGATAATGTTATCAAAAAATAAAAGCGGTTTGAATTTAAAATTAATACCCATGTTTTGAACTCAATTCCACAAAGTTGCGGCTAAAATGTAGCTTAGCTTCACTCCTCTCGTTTATTGAGCCAATAAGTTAACGT